CCTCACATAGTGTGTTTCATCAGTCTTTGGTTCCAGAACATTCCTTGAAAATGAAGGCTAGGAACTAAGTTTCCCAATGTCCTACTTTCTTTATTCTTCTCTATTAAGGAACTGCCAGGAGTAAGCCATTGACCACGGGGGACTAATACACATTATTGAAGCTGATCTTGTACCTTCTCTTTTCTGTGATAGTAAAATATTGTTTTATTCCATGTCGGTATCTAAGCCATGTCTTTCTTGGTTATTTAAGACCTTGACTTAGCAGTTTGGCACAGCAAATGAGTCAAAAACTATTCAAATTCAATTATCAGCATCTAACCTCAGGTTATTCTCCTTGCTGAATTCACTATAATAATTGCTTCATCATTCTTTTAAGATTGCAATTCATTTTTATCTCAATTTCTCACATCTTGTGATCAATTAGTTATCAATTCCTATTTATCAAACTTATTCATATATCAAGCATCTAATATCTATGGTCATCACTTAAAAACCAGACCTCATTTTCTCTCACTTGGATTATTCCATTGTTTCCTAACTTCCATGGGCCACCAAGTCACTATTCGCCCTGAGCTGTCCATCATGAACTGGGTGGTGTCTGACTCAAAGAGTCATAAAGTGGGATGTGCACCACAGCAGTCCATCATTAAATGGAAGTGATGTATGTGAGATCAGGCTAGAGCAGCACCTGAAGGCACTGCTTCAGAGGTGGCCCAGCTGCCTATGGTCTCCACTTCTCTCATTGTCCCATTTTCTTCCAGTCTGTACCTTTACAAACTGAATTTGGGATAAAAACGAATTGCAATCTTAAAAGAATGCTGATGTAATAATAATAATAGCATCGTGGAGAGTTCCTTACAATCAGTTAACTGAGGAAGAGAAATCTCGTGCTTGCTTTACTGACAGTTCTGAAAGATATGCAAGTGCCTCTCACAAGTGGACAGAGGCAGCAATATAGTCCCTTTCAGGGATCACCTTGAAGGGCAGTGGTGAAGGGAAAGCCTTCCAGTGGGCAGAGTACACCTCATCATTCCGTTTTCTTGGAAAGAGAAACAGCCAAATGCGTAACTATATACTGATTCATAGGCTGTGGTCAATGGCTTGGCTGGTTGGTCTTGGAAAGATCATGATTGGAAAATTGATGACAAGGGGTTGTGGGTAAGGAGTGGGTGGTTAGACCTCTCTGGATGGGCCAAAAAAGTGAAAAAATTTGTCTCTTGTGAATGCTCACCAAAGGATTACTTTTGCAGCGGAGGACTTTAGCAGATGACACATTTGTGGAAATTAGTCATCTTCTTTCCCCAATCCCTCCTTCCCTTGCCCAACGGGCACATGAACAAAGTGGCCATGGTGGCAGAGATGGAGATTATACGTGGGTTCAGTAATATGGGTATGCATTCACCATGGCTGGCGTGGCTACTGCCACTGCTGAGTGCCCAATCTGCCAGCAGCAGAGAGCAACACTGAGTCCAATCTTCATGGACAACAACCAGCAATATGGTAGCCAGGTGGTTACATAGGCTCACTTCCATCATGGAAAGGGCAGCATTTTGTTCTTACTAAAATAGACATTTCCTTGGTATTTGCCTTCCCTGCACACAAATGCTTCTGCCAAAATTACCTTTGGGGACTTAAATAATCTCTTATCCACCAGGTACAGCATTGCCTCTGATAAAAGGACTCACTTCATAGTAAATGATGTATAGCAATGAGTCCATGCTCATGGAATCCACTGATCTCAACAGTGGATACAACTATGGCCCCAGCTAGGTGGAAACACCTTACATAGTCAGGACAATTTTTTCTAGGAGGCTGTATGTGCTCTACACCTGTGCCCAATATATGATGCTCTTTCTCTAATAGCCAGGATTGCAGGAAACAAGGTGTAGAAATGGAAGTAGAACTACTCCCTATTACTCACTCATAATATTTTTGCTTCCTGTCCATGCAATCCTACACTCTTCATGTCTGGAATTCTTAGTTCCAGAGGGAGGAATACTCCTCCTACCTGAAGACCCAGCACATATTCCATTGAACTGGAAGTTAACAGAATAACTCCTGACCTTTTCTGACCCCTATGCCTCTGGATCAACAAGCAAAGAAGGGTGTTATGTATTGATTTGTGTGATTGATCCTGATTATCATGGGGGAATGGGGTCAGTATTCCATAGTGGAGGTAAATAAGCATATACATGGAATCCAGGAGATTCTTTAGATCTTCTCTTATTATTACCATGCCCTGTGATTAAAGTTAATGGTAAACTACAGCACCTCAATTCTTACATGACTATTAATGGCTCAGATTCCTCAGGAATAATGTGTGGGTCACCCTATCAGTCAAAGAGCCATGACCAGCTGAGCTGCTTACTGAACACAAAGGGAATATGGAATGGATAGTAGCTAACTACCAGCTGTAGCCATGTGATCAGCCCCAGAAAAGAGGATTGTGACTTATACTTCCGCTTGTATATGTAGCAATTACTTTTATTTGTTCACTAATAAAATATGAAATGCAAACGGGGCTCGTGCATTTTCAATTGTACTTGTATTACGTAGTTATGTTAGTCATGGCTCGGGGCAGGTTATCTTAGGCCTCCAGCTGACACCCTTGCTCTTCCACATGTTAAACAGGTCTTGCGCAACAGCTTTGTCCAGTGCAATGCATTATCTGATTTGTTATGTGCTGTTTCCATGAGCATTGACTGTGGATCCAAGCAAAATGAAATACATGTGATATGATTCCTAACCAATATGCCTAGGGTATAATCCCATGTGGGAATGAGATGTCGTTGTCATGCTAATTAGGTAGGGTTAGTAAAGGGTGCATCATGAGTTAATCTCTTCATATACAGATGAAATTTAAACAAACAAGCAGAAGATAAATGGGGTAAGAGGGATGCGAAGGCACATGGAAATCCCCAAAGAGCCAGGAATCAGATGTCAAGGAGCCAACACTCTTCCTTCATTGCTGACACAGACAGAACAACTTCCTCCGGAGTCAGTGTTTCACCTCTAACATCTGTCTTCCTAAATTGTGAGTGTGGTGTGTGGATACATATCTATACAGCTGTTCAATGACAGTATTTCTGTTAGAGAAACTACACTAAAACAATTCTCTTACCTGAACTCTCATCCAGACTTTCCTCAGAGACATGCTCATTTTGATGAACCCACTCCCCATTACATTTAAAGAATATCTGCATGGCTGGCCTTGCTTTGCATCTCAAAGCAATGGGGTTGCTCTTGATGATATAAGCATCATCTGGCTCTTCTACAAAATGAGGCAGTGTCCCAGGAGCTGATGGAATGGATTCAGGCAGGACTTCACCATTGTCGGTTCCTGTAAAACAGAAGAGGACATCCATACATCAGAACATAGGCGTGACTGACAGCGCGTGAAGTGGAACGCAGAATTCAACCCCACCTTGTAACAATCTAGGCTGGGACACTTTCATCATATTAATACAGCATGTTTCTAAGACTGCAGCAGATTAATTATCTTTTAGCTATTGAACTGGAATTGTTTGGCACCAGTGGCACACACGGTTGCTGTTGTTTTGCTGTATTGAGGTGTTACAAAGCAAAGATACCACGTTGATGGCTATGCTGTAGCTGGGCCAAGTTACCGTATTTTCAATGGCCTCAACTGCACATGAAAGCTGGACAATGATGAGAGACCAGAGAAGAATTTGTGGACTTCAGTTGTCGTGCTAGTGGAGAATAGTGGATATATAATGGACTGACAGAAATGAAACAAAGCTGTGTGGAAAGAAATACAGACAGAATGATTCTTAGAAGTGACCATACCCAAACAGTCTCACATATGTTGGACATGTTATCTGGAGAAGCTTGTCTCTGGCGAAAGCTATCATGCTTTGTAAAGCAGAGGATCATTGAAAAAGAGGGGAACCTCCCCCACAAGATAGATTGATAAAATGACTGCAACAATGGACGCAGATATCACAAGAATTGTGAGGATGACGTAGAACCGGGCCGGGTTTGGTGGGAACCAACTCAATGATGCCAAACCACAAAAAGAGCAGCTCCTTCGGTACTGCCAGTGCTATTGGGGGAACAAACATACTTCACTATTATTGGAGAGAGGACAATAGTAAATAGTGGAACCTTCACATTGCAAGTTTGAATGTGAGAGCCATTGATGAGAGATTTGAGATATCCATCTGTGGAGGTAAAGACTAAGTCTCAAGATGCGCTATTTGAGATAACGACTGCTTAGCCCAAAGGGTTCAATGTGAGCTTCAAGATTCTTTGAAACTTGGATAAAAGATGGAAATAGAGTTTTCCCTCTAATGTTTATGAATGATGATGATGAAGATAAATTAAAATGTATCTTCTTTCTTTACTGATGAAACGTTGAAGATTGTCTGGTACTCCGTCTAAAGCATGCCTCAGCTAGCTCGCATCTCACCAATATACCACTGCTTCTAAGACATGTGGGCTTGTGCTCCCTACGTTGGGTATGGCTCTGTCCTCCAGAAACCACTAGCTCTCGTTTACTCTAAATCATACCAAAAGCTGAAAAGAAAATTAAATCTCTAAAGAGTTATAGTTTTCCATTTAAGACCTATAATTCCACCTCTTTAAAGGAAGAGAAAGATATTGTTCTCCCTTAACCTTTAGCAACAGAGGAGCAGAGAGAAACAAAATAAAAAGGGAATGCAAAGGGGCCAACACTTTGCTTTCCAGGCTCTTCACTGTTTTTAATGAGGTTTAAGGCCCAGGAAACAAAATCGAAAGCTGTAGCAGTTGACTGTGGAACGATCAATAAGGAGATGGCTGGTGCGAGTAAGCTCTCTGCTGTCCAAAGGCCATTCTAGCAAAAGGACAGACAGCAAGAACATCCACAGCACCTACGAGGCACCCAAAGTGCTATTCCATGAGGCCCTAATCAGCCTTTTCTCTGAAGCGGGGAAAAGGAAGGCTCTGGGTGGCACAAATGTTTCATTTGCTGCCCTCCTAACCGAACGATGGGTTTGGGTTCACCCAGAAGTGCCTGGAAGGACAAGCATGGTCATCTACTTGTGAAAAATTAGCTACTGAAAAAGGGAGGGAGGGGAAAAAGAAGCTGATACCAATGGCTCAAGTAGAAAGAAAATGTTTTGAAATGATGATGGCAACATATGTACAAATGTGCTTGATACAATTGATGAATGGATTGTCATAAGAGCTGTAAAAGCCCCCAGTAAAAAGAAAACAAAAAGACAATCTATTGTATATAATTCTACTTGGACACATATGTGGCTGGTTTACTGGTGGGGATAGGAATTAATGAAACCATTGGAAGAACTACCCTCCTCAGGTTCTAGTTCTTTGGCAAAGCCTAGAAGCAGGGTGCATCTTTCTATCTAGCCTGGCTTTCTGTATGCCGCCAATTTAATTCAAAACAAAGACAGCTTCCTTTAACAAATAAGAATTGTTAAAAATAAACATAAACCCTAATAGTGTCAAGAACTTTTGGGGCATTCTCTAATATATTAAAATAAATAAATAATAATACTTCAAGAACTATGACTGTTGATGATTTTAATTTCTGTGGGGAAGAAAATAAAAGACACTAAGTTATGAAAAAAGAATCCTTGCAACTGGGAACACACAAGCCATATTTGAGACTGCAGTGAATTATATATAACAATAGCCTATTTCTCTCAAACAAGATTCTTTTTTCCCACCGAGGTACACAAACTTGAGAATAATAATAGTTTTTTTTCTTTTAAGTTTCACATAACAAAGGGATAAAAATACTATAAAGCTTAAAATGTAATTGTAATTGAAAAGCTAACTCAGGTGTAAATAATTCAAAGACTGAAGAATCAACATAAACATATACATAGTGTGAAACCAAACAGTTGATGTCATAATAGTATAATATAGTCACTTAGAAAATAAAATGTGTGTGCATATGCCATGCGAAGTAAGAGGAATTTCAGGATAGAATGGGAGGGTTTTTATTTTATTGTTTAACATTTTAAATTGTATTTACAATGAACTTCATAAAGTATATTATATATTAATTCATTTTGTTACTGACTGCTCTTGCCAATTTTCATCTTCAATAAATATCAAGGCCCCATAGGTTTCATAAATCCATTCTTTCAAGTCAATGACCAAGGTACTAAAATATTTTATATGAGCATTAAAAGCTCACACTCCCAACAAGTGCTTCAGTGCTATCACACTAAATTCACGGTCGCAGAAGAGGGTCACTCGATAACGTGGTAGCTTGAACGAACTGCTACATTTTTGAAAGATGAGTTTTTGTTTAATTAGTCACACAGCATAGATATATTACTGAAGAGTGTATATGGCTGTCTAGAAACCAAAATTAATGTTCTCTAAGTAAATACTGAGAACACATCTATGGGCACAGAAGAAATGCCGAAGAACAAATAAAGGCATTAGACCACTACATAAATCGTTTTAACTACCTAAGTCACAAAACAGAGTGAGCTCTAATAGCAGGTATGTTATTCTGCTGCCATTTTAATAGAGACCTTTAGATCAAGTAACAAGTTAAGTCCCTGATCTGAAACAGAGCAGGAGCGTGGGCTGGTTCTGCCCGAGAAGGTGTGTGCATTGTCATATTCGGAAGAGAACAAAAAAGGTAGAATGTCATAGAATATATTAAGTGTGAATAAGGTTATATCAAAATCACATATGAATAAGAAAAGGGCCTGCATTCATAATAGGAGGGGGACATGAAAACAATTGATTTACAGGAATGGTAGTCAGAAGGTGAGAGATTATAGATACATGTTTATAAGTGCATAATTGTTTATTTGCTCTATTCCCACAAATAAATGAGAAATTAGAAGTAGACATATGAGATATTTTCATTATTTTGTTTCTTGACAGTTTGCTTTCTATGGTGAAGTGCTGGGAGTGGTGTTACCCTAAGACCATCTAAACTCCCTACTCCTTCCTAAATTCTTCAATTAGCCAACGTCCAGACTACCATGCATTTGCCAGTTTCTTCAATGTGGTGGCTTGCTAGTCACTCTGATGTTGCCAAGTGCCATTGCTGTTAGGCAACCATCAAATCTGTTACACCTCATAAAGACCCTACTCACAACAGAGCGGCACACTGGCTGGTCATGCAGCATCCTCACACGTGTTGCTATGTTTGATCCCAACGTTGTAACCCCTGTGTCAATCCATCTCGTCGAGGGCCATTCTCCATTCCAATGAACCCCTAGTCTACCACGCATGATGTCCTTTTCCATGGACGAGTCTCTTGAAACATATCCAAAATATATGAAATGAAGTCTCAACATCCTTGCTTCTGAGTGTCCTTTTTCCAAACCAAGATTTTTTTAATTGTTATTCTGGCAGTCCACAATACTTTCAATATTCTTTGTCACATGTGAAAGTTGCTGGAAGTTATGTCACTGGTATTTCAAATACCTGAAGAGTCAACCATGGTGGGGCGATTTCAGCACAGCTTCCTGACTAAGATAAACAGCCAAAGAACAAAAACTTACTGCTAGGGAGTTGATGCTGACTCTTACCAACCATCTAGAACTGGGTAGAACTGCCCCTGTGAGTTTCCAAGACTGTAACTCTTTATGGGAGTAGAAAGCCTGGTCTTTCTCCCACAGAGGCTGCTGGTTTCAAACTGCTGACCTCATGTTTAGCAATTCAGTGCAGAATCATTATGCCCTGGGCTCTTCCACACCAAGGCCCATGAGCAGAAAGATCTGGAAATCCACTTCTGGAAATGAGGTGATGAAAGTCCTATGAAACAAAGTCGAATATTGTCCAATGTAGTGGAAGAAGAGGACCCCCGGGTGGAGGGAAGGACACAATAACTGTAAGAGAGATCCACGTCTCCCCGCAGTCATGGACATGACAACGGCCGAGGCAGGGTTTCCTTCTGCTCACTGGCAACCAAGCAGCAAAGCTAATTCCAAGTACCTTGCAGCTTCCTGCCAGGAAGAAGGCTCAACTTGTGGCTCCATGAGTATGCTCTCCTCATCCTGGCCACCACTCCCATCACCCTCCCCAATCTGCATAACTGCCAGGCTCAGTCTCATCTAGTGACTTTGTACTTACTTATCCAAGAATTCCTCAAGATATTCTGGAAGTAAGAAAATGGAAGGGAGGAAGAGGTGAAGTTGGGAATTCTAGGGGCTTAGAAGTTGATGACAATCCTATTCCTTATGTGTGGAGAGAGGTGTTTTACTTTAATACATAGTTTTATGGAAGACTGCAAGGATGTTTTGTTTCCTTTGTTTTGTTTTGTTTTGCCTTAAGGCAAATGAACTTGGAATATTAAATTAGTCATCGATCTGTAATCCAGAGGAAACTTTAGGACTTGTTGCAATAATTGCTGAAGCTCATCTGACCCAGCCAACGGCCTTATTGCATAACATGTTTACAAATAGACGCTGGAGAAGGAACATAGCCAGTTTACTTTTGTGTGTGTGAGTCGAAATGGGCA